CAACCTGAGGTAACTTCTCGAGGAATGAATGTGAGTCACTCATGCATGTTAGAATAACGGAGCATCTGTTATGCTTAGTGAACCAGATGCATTAATTGATTCATTTAATAAGTATTTACTGGGTGCCAACTATGTGGCAGCCTTTAGAAACACATGCATGCAACCTTGCTCTCCGGTCCCCATGGCTCTCCAAGAGTAGACTGTCAGAACTGCCTTGGACGGGCAGCTTCCATGTCTCCACATCTCGGCGTACTTCCTGGACTGCAGGTTCCATGTCTCCACTGGACTAGTGATTTTTATCAGCTCTCTCTACCAAAAATTTGGAGTTAAGGCCTATTCTCCAACTGCAGCTCCATGGGAACAGGGCCTGTTCTCCATTACCTGATGCTGTATCTTGTACTTGCTTGGTGCTCAGGAACTACTGATAGAACAACTGCTGTCCAACTGACAACAGACTTGTAAATTCTCTGCCCAAGGGGAGCTTACCAATGAGTGGCAGTGCCTGAGAGGAGGCTGGAAGGCATGTCATTTGGTGTTAAGAGAACAGGCCTGGGCCAGCCTGCCAGTACATGGAAGATCTGAGATGCAAACTCAGAAGCTCTGGTCCCGAGGGTTTAAAGAAGGACTGCAGACCTTTGTTGCTTTCTTTTATCCTCATAGCAACCACATTTTATCAGGTGAGGATGGCTGAGCTGAGAGAGGTTAAGCAACTTGCCTGAGTTATTTCAGATTTTAACAGTTTTCTGTTTCGTTTTTCCAGGCAAGATGGTAGAATAGGTAAATGCTGTGCTCACCTCCTCTCACAACCACCTCAAAATTATAACTAAATTACAGAACCATCATTGAGAATGGCTGAAGTCTAGCTGAACAAAAGTCCTACAAATAAAAACACACAGAAAAAGCCACGTAGAGACTGGGAGGAGGGACAGAGACGCGGAATGGGCTGGTCTCACACCTGAATGGTGGAGGGATATCTAGGCTGCAAAGGTTCCCTCTGAGATGCCAGGGTCCCAGCCCTACACCAGACTCTCCAGCTCAGGGTTCCAGTGACAGGAAGAGAAGTCCCACAACTTCTGGCTGTGAAACCTAGTAGAACTGTGGCTGAGTCAGACAGAGCATGGTTGGAAGCCCACCAGGTGTTCCTCTTAAAAGGCCTGCATATGGACTTACCCACTGATGGACTCACTCGCTCTGAGCTCCAGTGCTGGGGCAGCAGCTTGAAGGGTGCCAGGGACATAAAAGGAGGACGTGAACTGTCTGGCTTCGTGGCGAGGGCTGGATAAGGCAGCTTTATTCCAGACAGAAGTGCTGGCAGATGCTATTGTTTCTTTGTTGAGCCCTCCCCTCTCCTGGTGGCCACTATATCTGAGTCTCCATCAACCTGGCTAACACTGGTAGCCTCACCTTAGTGATTCCCTGAGGCTCCACCCCACCCAATTTGTGGATCCCACCCAAGCCACTTCCGGTGGCTTTTCCATACAAACAACCTGTCTTGGCTCATGCTGCAGACTTTGCTAAAATCTCTCAAAGTTTCACAAACCTCAAACAAGCAGCATCTGGCCTTGGCATGCCCGGTACCTCTTCCTAAGCAGCCCCAAGCCTGACATTAGCAGCAGCAGGTCTCGGTTTGCAGCTTAGCCTCTCCCACAACCTCTAAGCCCAGAACAAGTATCAACCATTTGCCGATCACTTTGTAGCTCATACCAAGTTGCGCCTGATATGCCACAAACATAGTGGCTGACCTTGGCCTGCAACAGAGCCCTTCCTAAGAGACCCCAGAAACAACACACTAGGTGGCCAGCTTCAGAACACATTAGAGCACCACCCAACCATCTCCACAAAAGACAAATCCAAAGGGCAGACTAGGCAGGCACCAGAGCCCTGCTAAAGCCATTCCTGCTCCACAGGGTCAGCCCCTACACAACAGCTCCCCCACTACAGTCATGGCCAGATCTGATAACAAGTAGTCTGAGAGTCAATCCTTCCCATTGACATGCAAAGAGCAACCAAGGCTCACCTACAACAGGAGGGCACACACAACCCACACAAGGGACACACCTGGAGCATCTGGCTCAGGTGACCAGGGAGACTGCGCCACTGGGCCCCACAGGACACCTACTATATAAGGCCACTCTATTAACACCGGAAGACATAGCAGCCCTACTTACTACACAGAAACTAACACAGGGAGGCAGCCAAAATGGGGAGACAAAGAAACATGTCCCAAATGAAAGAACAAAACAATGCTCCAGAAAAAAACTAAATAAAATGGAGACAAGCAATCTACCAGATGCAAAGTCAATACACTGGTTATAAGGATGCTTAATGATCTCAGTGAAAACTTCAACAAAAAATAGGAAATATAAATGGGCCGACCAAGTGGCACGTTGGTTAAGAGCTGGATTGGGACGCCAGCTCTGAGCAGCAGAGCCCCGGTTCAGATCCCACATGGGGGCCAGTGACACTGAGCCCTCTACAGCTAAGATGGTGAACAACAGCTTGACCTGGAGCTGGGCTGCTGTGAGTCACTGGTGACGGTGTAGGCTGCTGCCCCTGCTGCAGTGGGCTGCCATAAGCTACCGTGTGTGGCTGGCAGCCAGCGTGAGCGGCTGGCAGCTGGTGCGAGCTTCCAAGAGCTGCTGTGAGTGGCCGTCCAGAGGCCGGCGACCGATCTGCCTCACCCGGGAAGAGTGCAATGATAATACCAACATGGGCCAGTGAAGCAACATCCTCCACAACTAGACTGAAGAACAAAACGACAGCAAGTTGTCTGTTCCCCTCCCCCAATTCCCCAATAAAAATCTTTAAAAAAAAAGATAGGAAACATAAAAATGGAGAAAGAAAACATAAAAAGAATCATCAAAAATGCAGAAGACAAAAACTGAAATAAAGAATACATTAGAGGGAATCAAGAGTAGATTAGATGAAGCAAAGGCTCGAATCAGCAATTTGAAAGATAAGGTAGCAGAAAACAGAACAGCAAAAAGAAAAAAGAATACAAAAAAAAATGAGGAAAGTTTAAGGGGCCTCTGGGACAATAGTAAGTATACTAACATTTGCATCATAAGGGTACCCAAAGAACAGAGAGAGCAAGGAATTGAAAACCTATTTGACGAAATAATGATGGAAAACTTCTCTAACCTGGCGAAGAAAATAGACATACAAGCCCAGAAAGTGCAGAACGTTCCAAACAAGATGAACTCAAACAGGCCCACACCAAGACACATCATAATTAAAAATGCTAAAGGTTACAGACAAAGAGAATCCTAAAAGCAGCAAGAGAAAAGCAGTTAGTTACCTACAAGGAAGCTCCCATAAGACTGTCAGCTGATTTCTCAGCAGAAACTTTGCAGGCCAGAAGGGACTGGCACAAAATATTCAAAGTGATGAAAAGCAAGGACCTACAATCAAGATTACTCTACCCAGCCAGGCTGTCATTTAAAATTGAAGGACAGATAAGGAGCTTCCCAGACAAAAAAAAGCTAAAGGAGTTCATCAACACCAGACCAATATTACAAGAAATATTAGAGGGGTTACTTGAAGAAAAAGAAGAAAAAAAGATGAAAAATATGACTAATAAAATGGCAATACCTACATATCTATCAACAATTACTTTAAATGTAAATGGATTAAATGCTGTAATCAAAAGACATAGGGTGGCTGAATGGATAAGAAAACAAGATCCTTACATATGTTGCCTACAAGAGACTCACTTCAGATTGAAAGACACACATAGACTGAAAGTAAAAGGATGGAAAAGATATTTTGTGAAAAAGGAAACAACAAAAAACCTGGGGTAGCAATACTTATACCAGACAAAACAGACTTTAAAACAAAAGCTATAACAAGAGACAAAGAAGGACCCAGTAATCCCACTTCTGGCTATTTAGCTGAAGAAACCCAAAACACTACCTTGAAGGGACATGTGCATCCATATGTTCATTGCAGCATTGCTTACAATGGCCAAGATGTGGAGGCAGCCTGGGTGTCCATCAATAGATGGATGGATAAAGAGGAGGTGGTACATGTATACAATGGAATATTACTCCGCCATAAAAAAGAATGAAACCTTGCCACCATCTGCAACAATATGGATGGATCTAAAGGATGTTATGCTGAGTGTAGTAAGTCAGACAGAGAAAGACAAATGCTGTATGATTTCACTTATATGTGGAATCTAAAGAACAAAATAAACAATCAAAACAGAAACAAACTTATAGATACAGAAAACATTTGGAGAGTTGTCAGGTGGGAGGGGGTCGGGGAGGAAGGGTGAAAAAGAGGAAGGGATGAAGAAGTACAAATGAGTAGTTATAAAATATGGTCATGGGGATAAAAAGTACAACATAAGGAATATAGGCAATAATATTGTAATAACTATGTATGGTGTCATACAGATACTAGATTTATCAGGGTGATCACCCTGTAAGTTATATAAATATCTATATAACTAGGTTGTATGCCTAAAACTAATGCAATATTGTATGTCAACTGTAATTGAAAACTAAAAAAGCATTTTTTAAAAGTTTTCTGTTTTTGGAAAGATAAGATGGTGCATATACCACATATTATACATTATATATTACATATTACATAATACTTCCAGTGGGCTATGGGCAGCAGCCCATATCAAACACGTTAAGATGTTTGCAGCAAATCACTGGAACAAGCACAGTGAGTGGTATAATGGACTATTACAGTCTCCCTTTCCCTCAGGATCAGGCTTGGCAGTCAAATGGATTATAAAATAATTTCCAGTGTTCAGTGCCTTTTGCATTTTGGATTTGCAGGGGAGGGACCGTAGAACTGTGTATGTAAAACCTAGGGAGAAACTGTGGCACACATTTGGCGCCATGCACCCGCACGCAGTCACCTCGTGCAAATGTTAGCTTCCTGCCCTCCAGCCACTACTGAGTTCTGCCACCCCTCCCCCGCAAGAGGGCGCTCAGCCCCATCTCCTCTCTTGCCCCCAGACGGGAGGACCGACAGTTCCCGCTTACCAGTCTGTGTGGGCATCGTCGATCACCAACAGGATCCTGGGCTTCTGAACAACGGGTGTGGAGGGCCCCGGGGGCTCCATCAGCCCCGAGGGGGCCTGTGAGGTCGGCTTCATGGCACTGGAGAAGGAGCTAAACAGGCTGGATCCTGGAGAGGAGAAGGAGGCTGCCAGGGGCTGGGGGTGCCTCCGCTCCATGGCCGGGGAAGCCGGGGAGCTGGTGGAGCTATCTGGGCGCTGCAGGTCCGTCATGTAGCCATTCGGCAGGTTGGCCACGAAGCTGCTGTCGGAAAGGCGCCGCCGGAGGAAATTCATGGCTGTGGGTGGATGAGATGGCTTGTTCCTCCTCCGAGTTGTCTAGGTGAGGCCCTGACCACAGGCTGCCGGGGAGCGGGGGCGTGAGGGTCTTGGACCAGAAGAGCCAGGGGAGTCCTGCAGGAGTCCGCTTCAGCTGTCTTTGTTTACCTGTGGAAACAAGCCAACACACGTATTAGTGGAAACAACCTCCGCCCCTGGAGAGCAAACAGATATGGCACCTTCCTGCTGCGATGCTGGGGGCAACATGAAGTGGGAACCCTTTTGAAAAGGAATCTGGCAACGTGTAATTAGAGCACACCCGTTTAACCTGCCGTTTCCATTTTCTGGAATTCTAACCCAAGGAAAGAATCTGAGTCACTGGAAAAAAAGCCTCCCGCACAATCGTATTTACCATGGCATTATTTGCACTAGCAAACTACTGGCAAGGATCTCCACGTTCAATCACAGGATAACAAATGAATTATAGCACAATCGCTCAGCGAAACCTTTTGTGGCTATGAAAAAAAGGGTACTTCACATGGGATTATAGCAACCAAACAATGTTCATGTTGTAAATAAAAAGATCGTGATACAAAATTATAGGTACACAATGACGCCCACCACATAAAGTTTGAAATGACAAAACTCTGGAAAGGAAATACATTGGAATGTTAACAGTGATTTTATCTGGGTCATGTGACTACATGGGGTTTTTTTTCTCCTTTTTCTTTCCCCTTGCCTGTATTTTCCAGATTTTCTAGAATATATATGCTGTGGACTGAATTACATACTCCCCCCAGTTCATATGTTGAAGCTCTAACTGCCAAAGTGCTGGTATTTGGAGGTGAGGCCTTTGGCAGGTAATTGGGGTTAGATGAAGTCTTAAGGGTGGGGCCCTCATGATGGAATTAGTGTCCTTGTAAGAACAGATACCTGAGAGCTTCTCTCCCTGCACTGTGTGAGGACACAGAGAGAAGGCAGCTGTCTCTGCAAGCCAGGAGGACAGCTCTCACCAGACACTGACCGTGCTGGCATCCTGCACTTGGACTTCCAGCCTCCAGAACTGTGAGAAATCAACTCCTGTTGTTTAAGCCACTCAGTCTGTGGTACTCTGTTATGGGAGCCCTAGCAGACTAATAAACATATGTATTGCTTTTCTAAACAGAACAAAGTAAGTTTAGAAAAAAACCCGAATTTTTCATTTCAGATTAAAATATCCTATTGAGAAAAATTATTATTTAAACCAGGTGATTAGACGCCCTTATATTTTTTTGCTCAGCTTATTTTACATTTTTATTGAAGTAAAATTTAGTTACAGTGAGATGCACAGTTCTCAAGTGTACAATTCTTTGAGTTTTGATAAATGTATACACTAGTCTAAGATTTATTACATCTGCTCAGAAAGTTCTCCTGCACCCCTTTCTGGTCAATCCACTCACCTCCATAGGCAAACATTCTTCTGATATCTGTCTACATATATTAATCTTACCTATTCTTGAACTTCATATAAATGTAATCATATGTACTCTTCTTTTGTGAATGGCTTCTTTCCCTCAAAATAATGATTTTGAGACTCAACTATGCTGTATATATCAACAGACATTCTGGTTTTTATCACTGAGTAATTTTCCACTAGATGAATAAACCACAAGTTGTTATTGCATCTTCTTGTTGATGGACATTTGAAATGTTTCCAGTTTGGGGGTACTGTAAATAGAATTGTTATACAGAATTTTTTTACTTAAGTATTTTTGTGTGTGGAGAATGAGGGATTGGGGGAGGGAGGGAAGGAGGGAGGGAGAGAGAGAGAGAGAGAGAGAGAGAGAGAGAGAGAGAGAGAGGCTTTTCTTTGGGAAAATACATACCTAGAAGGTAATTTTTGGGTCATAAGGTAGGCACATGTTTAACTTTATAAGAAACTGTCAAAGAGCTTCCCACAGTGGTTGTACCACCATTTTGCATATTCATTCAGTTGCTCCACATTCTTACCAACAATTGGTTGCTGTCAGTCTTTTTAATCTTAGCCATTCTAATGGGTGTAAAATAGTACCTCACTGTGTTTTTAATTTAATCTGTCTGCTCTCTGATACCTAATGAGATTGAGCAACTTTCGTGGGTTTACTGGCCATGGATATGTCTTCTTTTGCAAAGTATCTGTTCAAGTCTTTGGCCCATTTTAAACAGGTGAGCTGATTATATTTCACTTATATCTGCTCTTTATCATGACCTCTCTTCTTACTTTGGTTTGGGTTTAAGGGTTTAATTTGTTTTTCTTTATATTAGAAAAGAAGAAAGGTGTAAAATTAATGATCACATTTCTATCTAAAGCATCTAGAATAAATATTTAAAGTAATGCATTTCCCTCTATGCACTGCCTTCACTGCATCTCAGAAACGTGGCATGTTGTATTTTCATTATCGTTCAAATCAAATTATTCTTACTTTCTTTGTGGTTCTCTTTGACCCATGTGTGATTTAATCGCATATTTAATTTTTAAACTCCAGTGCTCTTTCAGATATTTTATTGTTATTGCTTTTGATACGATTTGTTTGTGATTAATAAGCATAGTCTATAAGGTTTTAATCCTTCGACATCTTTGACATTCATTGAGATTAATTTTATGACTCAATATGCTCGATCTTGATGACTGTTCCATGCGCACTTGCAAAAAATGTGTGTTTTGCAGTTCTCGGGTGTAATATTGTATAAATACCAATTAGATTGTTGTAAAATCAGGTTCCCGAGCCAGGAAGCTGATTCTGCCATGGTGATATGCAAGCAGGAAGTTTACTGGAGATCGCTCCCGTGATTACCAACTGCAGGCAAGTACAAAAAGCAGAAATGGGCTGAAAGAGAGGTTGAATGGCAATCCAGTTTTAACAAGAGGCCTCACTTGCTCTTACTGGGAGCATGGAACTGCGGTATCTCTTTAGCTTTCCTCATTCTCCAGCTACTGTCAGCTTGTACTCTGTCCACTGAGTTGTCAAACCAATAAAACTTCAGTTTTCTGCTGTGGGTCTAGCTGCTCCATGCCACCTGGACTGGGAGGTGCTTTCAAGTAGAAGCCACATAAATATGGATCTCACTTAGTGGTTCCTTTCTTTCAAGGGCCAAATCTCCTCCATGGTCTACCTACTTTTCGCTTCTCTCCAAGGACCTCAAATAGTTTCGCTTTAAACTTTTGATCCAAGGTTTATCATTATCATCGATGAGAGGGTTAGCACAACACAAGCTATTGAGTCACTACTGGAATGAAATCTTTTTTCATTTTTAAACTACTAGATAGAAAAGTGAACAGAATGTTAAAGCTGAAGGGACTTTAGAGATAATTTGACAATCCCTTCTTGAGGAAATCTGATCAATGGTGGGAATACTCCACCCTCAGAAGAATCACCTCATTATCTTTTGACCAACTCCATTGTTAGTCAAAGGCTCTTCTGATAACTTCTCCCCACTTCAGGCCCCAGGGGAGTTTACAATCTGGTAAAGGGAGGCAGATCATGAACAAGGGAACAAAGTATTTATGGATTGGAGCAAGAGCTAGTAAGGAATACACAGAGTACTGTCATAGGGATTAACATGGGGAGGGGCAGGGAAGGCCTCTCTGGGAAGGTAACCTTTAAACTGATATATGGAAAATGAAGGGAACAGGAAGTATATATGCAAAGGCCCTGGGGTAGGAAAGAGTTAGGCAATTTGAAGAATGGAAGGAAGGCTAGCCCAACTAGGAAACAAGCAGATTTTTATAAGAAAATGTTTAGAGAAGTAAAGAGGGGCCCAATCATGAACGGCCATGCTGAAAATAATTTTGATTTTAATCCAAGTGTCAAAGTAAGACACTGGAAGTTTATAAATAAGAGAGAGATGTAATCTAGTCTAACTGGCTACTATGTGGAAATCAGACTGTAGAGGATGTGTATGGAAGCAGCCAGACATGTTAGGAGGCTGTTACAGTCATTTGGGTCCTTACATGTGAAAAAGGGAGTTGGATTATGTGATTTGCAAGGTGTCCTGTTCTGTGAGTCATTCACATCTTGTGCCACTAGACACTGGATATCTCTTCGAAGCCAACCTAATCTGATAGTGGGACAAGGTGGGGGCGAGAGGGCTTTTGGGAGGAAAAGAAGGCCAGGAAGATTTCTGGGACAGAATCTAGTAGGCTCAGCCCCATGTTGCTCCACTAATGACCACTACAGGGAAGGAGTGACCACATCAGACAGAAAAAATAAAAAACTCTTTATAAAGCACCTTTACAAGCTCTTGTCTTAGAGGCTCTGGTAGGAAAGAAAACTTTACTGGGAAGGGATTAAAAAAAAATGCTGGAGACTTCTCAGACTTGTTGGTAGAGATGCAAGACAGAGTAAAGTACAAATCATAGGTATACAGGTATTGCATCAAAATGGGGAAAAGTCCCTAAGAATGAAAGCCGCCTTACAGTGGAACCAGCTACTTTGAGGAAAAACGAGCAACTGATCAGCCTGGACAGGAAAACGGACATCTCTGCTCAGGTATCTCATAGACACCCCAGATTCATTTCCTTGCCCATCATCAGATGAATTGGTACACCTGGGCCCCCCCACTACCTCCCCAAAATACCACTATCAGTCCACTTACTTAGGCCAGAAACCTGAGTCTCACACTTCACTCCTTCTTAACCTTCACCAATTCCAGCCACTCAGTCACCAGGCCCTGTCAGCTCTGTCTCCCCAAATATCTTTAATATCATCCTCTCCTCTCAATCATTCCTACCGTAGTCTTGGCTCACATGCTACTCAATTTAAAAATGGGCCAAAGACCTTAATAGACACATCACCAAAGAAGATACACAGATGGCAAATAAATATATGAAAAGATGTTCCACAGCATGTGTCATCAGGAAAATGCAAATTAAAACAACAGTGAGATGCCTCTACACACCTATTAGAATGGCAAAAATCCAAAACACTGACACCACATCCAAACGCTGGCGAGGATGTGGAGCAACAGGAACTCTCAGTCATCGCTGGTGGGACTGCAAAATGGTATAGACGCTTTGGAAGGCAGTTTGGTGGTTTCTTATAAAACTTAACATACTCTTACCATACAATCCAGCAATCATGCTCCTTGGTATTTACCCAAAGGACTTGAAAACTTATGCCCACACAAAAACCTGCACACAGATGTTTAGG